AAACGATTGTTCATGGCTCTTTCTCTGGCAAGAAGTGGCCACTGATTACAGTGGAAGACTTAATTCTTGGCTGCAGTTGTGGCAACACCTCTGCAGCACCACCAAGACCTGAACTCCATTGTGACTGCATTGGCCCTTGAAGTCATTTTTCTACCACCTCCTGTGCTTGTGGCCTTGGAGAGGCTGCACAGAGAGGCACAAGCCTGTGGTTCCTTGATACAGGGTGGAGTTGCTGGGTTTGGATCTACTAAAAACTGTCTCTAGAAAACCTGTGAGGTGGCAAATGCAAAACATACACAGCAAAGTGCCTGTGGGACGTAGTGTGAGCTTGTGGCACCCAGTGCATGGGCTGAGACTGCTTCACCTGGGAACCACCTTCTGCACCACAGCCTGAGGGATAGACCCCCCTCATGTCCCACACCACACAAAATCCTCATCCTGGGACTGAGAAACACTTCTCTGAGAATATTGCAGGGAACAAACAGGATCGGGATTGTAACAAACAGGGAACTTGGAGCCTCCCTGTGAGTGAGCACCTTCAGTTCTGGAGTTCAGGTGGCTGATGCAGCTGTGTGAGAACATCTGGCTCTTCCATGGCCTGCAGAGGAAGCTCTGCCATTCCCTGTGGGAGTGACTGTTCCACTCAATTAGTGTTTCTCATTGTACTCCTGGCTGTTCACAGGTTTATTCCCTACCCTGCTGTTTGGGGATTTGCATGGTGGTGCTGCCACTGAAAACCGCATTGCAAGTAACTTCCACACAACCCATCCTGGCATCTCTTCCCATCCCATTTTATTTGTAGTGTAAAACAGAGCCCTGGGATGGAACCACAGGTTTTACTTTACATGTTCAGCAATGTGTCACTTGCACCCAGAGCCCAGTGTGTGCCACATGAGGGCTGGGAACCTGGTATGCATCAGGTTCCAGATTCTAGGCTTTAAACTTACATCATGTGTCTTTATTGGACAAGAAATACAGAATGCAGTCTGTAAAATTCCATTGGTGTGGAATTCTTTTGCCAGCCATTTGGAATTAATAATGAAAGCACATCATTTATCTTGTTCTGGATCATAACGACCTGAAAAAGCCATTTTTCCATGTGAGATTTATAAAATGCAGCCAACAGCTAAGTTGCTTTTTTTAACACTTCTGATAACACATGCTTGGTAATTGCATCAGTGGCCCGCTTTTAAATTTCAGCGAGACTTAGACAGGAGGAAAAACCAACAAAAAACAGATAACAGCAGTTTTAAGAGCTGTTAAATGTTCTTCCGTGCTCTGTGATCTTCATTTGTGATACCCTGGAACAGAGGAGTGGGAGCACCAGCCTTCAAAAAGTGGAATTTGTATATGGAGGGAAGTAAATATTTTTTCTTTTACATGGAAAAAGTCTCAATGACCATTCTCAATGATTCTAAACCTCTTAACAGCATAAACAACAAGGTAACAGAGCAATGTCATCACCATCAGCAATGTTTCTCTGAAATTTCCCTAGAAAACCAAAGTTCAGCTCAGTTACAGATACACTGAGCTTAGACAGAGGAAGAAATACAGGATAACATAAATATTTGTGATCGAGAAGAGATCCTGTTTGGATGTCTCCTTTTTAATGGCTGAAGTAGGTAATTGGTAGGTAGGGACCCAATTTACCATTTTACATTTATGCTTTGATGACTTAGGATATTTTTAACAGAATTTTTGTGTACCAAAATTCTGATTTTTTAAAATTTTTTAAATCAAGTCAATTGTGGTACTGTTTTGTGATTTTACTTAGCAAATCTGCTGAATATTCTTACATCTGAACTTAGGTTTTGTCTACATGCATTATCTGCTTATGAAGAGAAAATTTCCAGTTCCACAGAGTTTTGTACATTTGCTCAGTTGCTCATCCTTGCTAATCTGGGAAGCTACATTGAGAACCTTTGCTTCTGGGGACTTCTTTTAAGAGAACAGACTCTTGTAACCCTTGGTTACAGGAATCAGCAAGAATTATTATTTTTATGTATTCACTTAAGCCAAAAAATGTGCTTTCCTGTGTAATGCAGCTGCTCACTTACCTACATAATCCTTCATTTGTGTCAGCATGACCAGGTGAGAATTCAACCTCCTGCCAGGAGGTTTGAGGTTGGTTGGTTTTGGTTACTAACAGGAACATTCCTTTCCATGCAGTAAATGTTAAACTAGTTAGTTACAGCTAAGTACAGTGATGTAATCAATTCTTGTTGCAACTCCATGAATTTCACCAAAACTGTCTCAGTAACTTTTTTTCCTCCCTGTTTGCTGTGGTGATGGTTTCATGAGTTTGTTTGGACATCTGAGTTTATATTACATACATGTAAATTCAATTCCAGCACAAAGAAAGGATGTTTGCTCTTCCCTCTGAATGGTGAACTTAAAATTATTTCCTCAAAAATTCTGTCTTCTAGAGAACAGTGTGTGTGAGTATCTGTGCCTGTTTTTAGTAACATGGGCTTTAAAAGTGTTTCAGTGAGTTTAGAGTATTTCTTAGCAGTAAATTCTTACCACCTAGAATTAAAAAAACCCTACCTGAAGCTCACAGCTGCAAAACTAACCCTATATTAAGTGCTCAGGAAGGTGTCATACCTGTTATCTCTGTGTTCTGGATTATATTAAAATCTTAAAAAATCCTGAACCATGAGAAATCTTTCTCTCCAATACTTCAGAGCTTGTTGTAGGTGTCACCTACTGAAGATGAATTCAGCTTAAGGCAAGATAGGATTTTACTGCTGTGTTTGAGCAGAGGATGGATTTAGAGGACACCTTCTTTTTCTTCAAGCCCATTGGAAAACTGCATATTTTCCTGCAGTAATGTTATTTTTCAGTCAGGTATTGCTAGTGTCAAATGATTATCCAACTGCTTTATTATTAGAAAATATTATTTAGCTTTGCTGATGAAGAAGGAATGGGGACAGCGGTGTCTATTGCATGAGTTGCTTGTCTTCTCTGATCTTTATGGATGGATTCCTCTCCATTTTGGAGGATAGGGGTTATGTAACACATATTTATTAGGCCTAAACCCCTTCTAATAGTGACGTGATGATGAGGTTTTGCTCAGCTTGTCTTCCTCTGACTTCTTTCTGCAGTGTCCAGACAACACAACTTATTCCTGAGCACTGAAACAATCACAGAATCCCAGGCTGGTTTGAGTTGGAAGGGACCTTAAAACTCATCCAGTCCCACCCCCTGCCATGGGCAGGGACACCTCCACTATCCTAGGTTTCTCCAAGCCCTGTCCAACCTGGCCTTGGACACTTCCAGGGATTGGGCAGCCACAGCTTCTCTGGGCAACCTTTGCCAGGGCCTCCCCACCCTCACAGGGAAGAATTCCTTCCAATATCCCATCTAATCCTGCCCTCTGACAGTTGGAAGCCGTTCCCCTTTGTCCTGTCACTCCAGGCCCTTGTAAACAGTCTCCATGTTCCTTAGCCACTTTAGGCACTGTAAGGTCACCCCAAAGCTTCTGTTCTCCAGGCTGAACAATCCCAACTCTCCCAGCCTTTCCTCACAGCAGAGCTGCTCCATCCCTTTGATCATCCTGGTGCCTCCTCTGGACTCACTCCAGCAGCTCCATGTCCTTGCTGTGCTGGGCCCCCAGGGCTGGAGGCAGCTCTGCAGGTGGGGTCTCACCTGAGGGGGCAGAGGGGCAGAATCCCCCCCTACCCTGCTGCCCATGCTGTGGGATCAGCCCAGGGCATGGGGGGGTTTTGTGCTGGGCTGTGTCCAGCCTCTCCCCCACCAGCACCAAGGAAATCTTCCAGCTGGAAAACTTGCCTTTGTGGCTGTGGCTCCACAGGGCATGAGAGCTGGATTTGGTTGAATTTTGTTAAAAAAGGAAAAAAACAAACTGAAAAAACCCCCAATTCAACCAAACCTGTGCTCTTCTCTTCCCTGTTCCTGCCCCAGGATTCCAGGTGAGTTCACCCCAAAACCTCTCTTTCCTCTGTGGAGCCGCAGTTTGGGTGTGCACACGGTGAATTTCCCCATGTTGAAGATTTCCTTTGTTCCAAGTCCACAACTTTTTTAGCTCAAACCTTTTTCGGTTTTGGCTTTTCCCCTCCTTGTACCAGTCGCGACATCTAGTGGCGACACGGCATCATGACAGCGCCCGACTTTGGGAAGCTGCCTCTAGCTCTCTTTGAATCTTCCTCTTTGGAAGAAGGGTTGACAGTGACCATCCTGTTCTCCCCGCCAAGGAATTTTACTGGCAGCCCTTTTGCTACGCAAATGTCAGCAAAGACCCTGAACCTGTTCTTAGATTGTTACTCCATTTTCATGGAAGTTATTGAATTTTCATATAAATTTCTATATAAATGAACACTAATTGAAGCAATTGAACCTTTTGGTTAATACACAGATGAACTGCGATGGCAACAACGGAATTGTTCACTCTGACTTCAGTCACATATTTTGAGGCTTTACTGCACTGAAAAAAAAAAACAAAAATGGTTTTTATGTATTTTGTCTAAGTAAGAAGGCAGAAAGCCCAGCTCACGACACCCAACTCACTGCACAGCAGTAACATGTTGAGAGTGCACTGAATGGGTGCCTTCAAATTGGGCAGCCTTTCCTAAAAAAACCTGTTAATTTGTGCTCAACACTGGGTGAAATTGTGTGGGCCAAGGTTGGATGTGTGATTCAATAATCCCTTCAGGACTCAAACCTAGCAAATTCTGTCTGTTCACACCACAGACCAGAACTGCTGCCACGAACACCATTTCTAGCACTCCCAGTGACCATTTCCGATGTGGGGAAGGCTCACATTTTTCACAGTTATGCATTAAAATTCATAGAGTTTCTCCTCCCTCCCAGCATGCTCCAAGCGATGTTTTGATTCCTGATGAATTCAGTAGTCCCAGAGAAACATCAGGGTTTGGGGTGGTTTTTTTTGGCCAGATGTAGAAATAAATGTAATTTTGGTTTCTATGGGTAGAGTTTTATGACTGACTCCAGCCCCCCCTCAGTAAGAAGCACAGAAGTCATTCAGAACAAAGGATTTTTTATTGACCATCTTGTCAAGACATGGGTTTATGATCTTGGTCTCTCCTTCTTGCCCTTGTACAACGCCAGCAGGGACACATTGGCCACCTTGACCACCTTGAAGCGGACCCCTGGGATGTCCCCAACGGCATGGCCCTTGCGTCCGAACCCAGCCACCAGCACCTCATCGTTCTCCTGCAAAAACCAAAACCGGGGCATGGGGAGCACAAATATCAGATCCGTGCACAAATCTGGGATTAACCACCCTTAATTTGGGCTACGCTCCACACTGCCCTTGTCTAACCACCCCAGATCAAACTTGCACACATTAAATAAGAATTAACAGAGTAAATGTCTTTTATTTTCCACTGCAAAATACAACTTCTAAATGAATTACCTCAATGAAGTTCAGGCAGCCATCATTGGGGACAAAGGCTGTGATTTTTTTGCCGTTCTTAATCAGCTGGACCCTGACACATTTCCTGATGGCAGAGTTGGGCTGCTTGGCTTCTACTCCACTGCAATGGAAATAAGTCAGAAAAACCCCACGTTTGATGGACCAGAAGGTTTGTTACACACCCACAAGTTACTGTTTTCCTTTGTGTTCAGTGTAAACTGATTCTGTACTTCAGAAACTCTGAGCTGGTTAGAGCCACTCCATATTTGAATATAAAATATTTAATGACTATATAAAAACTCCACGTATCATTATATAATGTATTATCTATAATAAATATATTTAACATATATCAATATATAGACCACCACTTCCTATGCAGAGTAGAATTTTAATCACCTACAGACTAATACTAATTCAGTAAAATCCTGAAAAAGCATAAAAGAGGGGAAAACCTCCCAAAAACTAGAAAACACTGGTCAAAAAAGAGAGCACTTGCAGCATTCCCATGAGGCTTCAAATTATTAAAGGCAAAAAAATCTTCCAGAATTAGGTAGGATCTTTGACACAAGACATGCAGTTTTTCTTAATGTTGTGCCAAACCCCTGATTTTTCTCAATTTATGAAAGAAGGCACTTTTTCTTTAAGCTTTGACTAAGTTCTCCATTTCCCCCCACTTTTGGGAAAATTCTAATTTTTTTCTCCAATTCTTTCCAATAAAAACATATTTTCCCCTTAATTTTTGCTTAATATCCCTATGTTTTTACCAATTTTTGAAAGAAATTCCCGTTTTTTCCTCTAATTCTTAAAATTAAACATAAATTAATTCTGGTTTTTCCCATCTCAGGACAGGAGCTGCATCCAGGGGGTTTTAGAGCCCCATCCCAGGGGTCTCAGCGCCCAATTCCAGGATGCTGGACCCTTATCCCAGAGACTCTGTACCCCCAATCCTAGGGGCTGTGGACCCCGAGCCCGTTTGTGCACCCACACTTTCTCCAGGACGATGCCCTTAGCGTGGGAGGCGCCGCCGAAGGGGTTGGCCTTCAATGCCGTGCCCAGGTGCGCCTTCTTGTATTGCTTGTCGTGCCACTTCTGGTCGCGGCGGTGGCTGCGCAGCTTCCGAGCCGTGCGGAGGCCTCGGCACTTCCCTGCAGGAGGTGAGAAGGGAGGCTGGTGAGGAGAAGGAGGGTGAGGTGGGCCAGGCCGTGTGACGCAATGGCGGACATGTGGCGGGTAATGGCGGCCGCGGCCCCACCGCCCTCAGCGCTGTCCGCACAGCACCCACTCGGCTGCGGACGGGCGGGGAGTGCAGAGCCCCGCAGACCTCCCTGGGGATCCCGCAGCCCCCAAACCCAGCCCCAAGCCCGCCGCAGCCTCGGCCTCACTCCCCGCGCTCACCCATCCTCTCCTGCAGCTGCCGAGCGAGAAAAGAGGGAGGGAGGTCCGCGACCGCCGCCTATAGCCGCGCCCGCTAGGACCTGCCGCGGGCTGCCCGCGCCGCGCCTGACGGAAACACCCCGACCGGCACCGTGGCGGGCGGCCCGGCCGGAGGTGGAGGCCGCGGGTTCTAGACCCAATCGGGCGGACGGGCACGACTTGCCCCTCCCTCGCCGCGGCGTTCGAGTCCCGTTTTGACCTAGAACCGGGAGAGAAAACTTTGAGACCAGTCTGAGCTTAAAAAAAATCATTACTTTACCCCCGGGGGCACCTCCCTGCCTGTGGTCCACACCGAGATGCACTTCTGCAGCTTATGTATAATTTGTTCCATGAATATGTGTTTACAGTCTCAGGAGTTCACGCCTGTTCCAAAAGGCCTTATCCATATGCTAATTAATTGCATGGGGCTTATTGCACATGTTCGGGATGGGGTCTCTGGTGGTCGTTTGGGATGGTACCACAGCTTGTTTTGTCCTTACTTGCTCACAAGGACGAGTCGAGGTTGGGCCTGGCTTTATCTTGTTAGCTGTACCGGGGGAACCAGTGTCCGACCCACAGAGAGGCTGATGATTGATCTCTGCCTGAAAAGACCACCATGACGTGGGAGTCAGAGTCTCCTTCCAGGTAAAAAGCAACAGGACAAGGAGAAATGTCTTCAAGTTGCACCAAGGGAGGTTTAGGTGGGATATTGGGTTGTCTATCCCTAGCACAGCTGCCCAGAGCAGGGGGAGAGTCCCTATCCTTGGAGGGATTTAAAAGCCTTATGGACGTGGCACTTGGGGACGTGGGTTAGTGGTTGCCTTGGCAGTGCTGAGGAATGGTAGGAGTCAATGGTCTGAGAGCGCTTTTCCAGCCTAAATGACTCTATGAGTCTATTTCCAGCTTTTCATAGATTCCCAGAATGGTCTGGGTTGGAAGGACCTCAGACCTATCAGTCCCACCCTCTGCCATGGGCAGGGACACCTTTCACTACCCCAGGTTGCTCCAAGCCCCATCCAACCTGGCCTTGGACGCTTCCAGGGATGGGGCATCCCAGCTTAAAATGCTGCATTGCCTGTGAGTCCTCCAGTGGATCTGGACCAAAGTGAAGTCCTATAACATAAACCAGCTCATATTTACTGATTTTGAAAGTTGCTGGTAGTCCATGCTGCCAAACTGCACCAATCTGAGTCCTGAACATTCCTTCCCCTTTTTGGAATTACTGTGAAGGGACAGCAATTAGACCTTAATACATCTTTATTAAGACATCCTGTGCTCACAGCTTAAATAGAAAATACATATTTTGTGTGTTCAGGTAGGACTGGTTTTACATGCAATCTGTATAGAATAACTAATTAAAAAAATGAAAACCACCCCTCAACACACACTCCCCTCAAAGAAAAAAAGAAACCAACCAACCCCAAACAAAAACTGTAAAGCCCACCAACAATTTTAGGAGAAAACATTACTATTATAAAGAGCAGCTCTTGAAGATGCAGTTCCAATGTTGGAATGCTGTTGCTGTTTGGTGATTTTAAAAACAAGGAAGTTTATATTGTAAAAGTGCTGCAGCTTTGCTTTTCAGTGTTAGGAATATTTGGAATACTTAAAAGCTGACTGGAAGGAAGGAAAATGATGTGTTTTAAACTTTATGAGGACTTTGGGGCACTTTTAAGACATCTTTTCTTCATTCCACCATGTTCTGGTTTAACCCCAGATGGTAATTAAACACCACACAGCCTCTTGCTCACTGCCCTGCCCATCCTGGTGGGATGGAGAGTGAATTTGGACAAAAAAGACCTGTGGGTTGAGATAAGAGCAGTTTAATAATGGAAATAAAGTTGTTGTGGTTCTTAATAACAACAACAACAACAGTAATAACTATTAATAATACTAACACTAATATAATAATAACAATAACAATAATAGTTAAACACAATGGCTGAGATGTGCTGGCACAGGTGGCCACAAGACATGTCCCTGGAAGGTGTCCCTACCCATGGCAGGGGGTTGAAATGAGGTTATCTGTGGGTAGCTGTGTGGAAAAGGGCTGTTTGCTCTGGAGAACACCAGCACTGCTGGATAAGCACTTCTAAAATTAAATGTTTCAGTTGACCAAGCAGATAAATCCACCAAAAATCCCACCACTTATCTTAAAACTCTCAGTATAATCTGATCTTCCCTGTGGGATCTGATACCTGGTGTCCTGTGGTACTGCATGACGAAAGACAGCTGAGTCCCGAACAGACTGAGCTTTTCGTTTGTGTTTTTTGTTTTGTTTTGTTTTGGTTTTTTTTTTTTTTTTTGGTGCAGTTTTCCCCCTGTGCCTTCCTTGAAGGTGAAGTTAGGCCTGGAGTCTGTATGGAGGTTTCTCAGACTAGGATGGAATCCTTTGGGGATATTGTGAAGGGCACAGGGAATAGAAGGGAATTAGAATCTCAGAATGATTTGGGTTGGAAGGGACCTTAAAGCCATGGGCAGGGACACCTTCCATTATCACGGGTTGCTCCAAGCCCCATCCAACCTGGGCTTGGACACTTCCAGGGATGGGACAGCTACAGCTTCTCTGAGCAACCTTTGCCAGGGCCTCTCCACCCTCACAGGGAAGCAGGAAGGAATTTTAACAGGATTAATTTCTGCATCCCACCCAAGAAGAAAGCTGAAAGGCTTTTTGGCCCAATCAGTTGCCCAGAGAGAGGATTTTGTTCGAGCTGAGAAAAGCTTTATGTTTTAAGGTGAATTTTCTGACCACGGTTCTGTTACACTGTCAGTGCTCTGTGAATACGTCTGAATCAGAGGAACAACGATGACTTAGACTGAAAAGGTGAGTGATACATTCAGTGCTGACACTTGTAAGGTGTCTGATAACTCATGTTGCTTGAGACATGTTAATATAGAAAGCTGCTCAGCTCCTGGTGGCGTGACATGTGAGCTGAAGGTGACTACAAACCGCTGGAAAAGAGTTTGTGTGCCTGAAGAGCCAATGCTCACAACCTTCACCAAGCTGTGAGCCTCCATGCTGAATATAATCACTTTGAAGTGAGTATAATTATCCTTTCTGAGAGGTAGATCCCAAAAAAAGGAGCAATGTTTAAAGTACAGTAAGATCTGCTATACCTCCTTCTTGCTGGAGGAAATGTCTGAGCTGCCTCAGTGCTAAATGAACAACAAAGAAATGATACCTTGCTGCCTAATCATCAAAGGTGGAGTTTTGCATGAGGAGTAATCAGAAGTAAAATATCCTTGCAAAGTGAGGGGGAAAAAAAGGTGACAAACAGCAGTTTAATCCTCTTATGTGGAATACTGGCCCCTTTTAGCCTGCCATAGCCTGCCATTTTAGGCTGTAAACTTAACTGTGGTGACAGGACAAGAGGAAATGGCCTCAAGCTGTGCCAAGGGAAGGTCAGGAGGAATTTTGTCCTGGAAAGATGGTCAGGCATTGGAAGGGGCTGCCCAGGGAGTTGGGGGAGTCCCCATCCCTGGAGGTGTCCAGGGACGTGGCACTCAGTGTTCTGGGCTGGGTGACAAGGTGGTGAGCATCTTTAAGAACTGTATCAAATGTTTAATATTATTGTTGCTATTATTATTATTGGCAAGTGTCAAGAGGCAAGAAAAGACTTTTCTTTCCTTCTACCATTATTTCAGAAGATTGCTGGTGAATGATTTACTATCAGCACCCATTGTATTAGTGTATTCAACCTGCATCTCAGGAAGTCTTCCCCATGTCACCATTGGCGAATCAGAGATCAAATCAGTCCAACAGTTTAATTACCTAGATAGCATCATCTCCTCAGATGGTAAGATTGATGGAGAGATAGACAACAGGTTAGCAAAGGCATAGAGAGCTTTTAGAAAGTTCTGTATGAGAGTTTGGCGAAATAAACACCTGAAGAAAAGCACCAAGATCAGTGTTTACAGAGCCATTGTGCTCTCTACTCTTTTATATGGATCCGAATCATGGGTCATCTACCGCCACCACCTGCGACTCCTAGAACGCTTCCATCAACACTGCCTCCGTACAATCCTAAACATCCACTGGTCAGATTATGTGACCAATACATCTGTTCTAGAACAAGCAGCAGTCACAAGTATTGAGGCCATGTTGTTGAGAACACAGCTGAGCTGGGCAGGGCACGTCTCAAGGATGAAGGACCACCGCCTCCCTAAGATCTTGCTTTATGGTGAACTTGCCACTGGCTGCTGCAAGAGAGGAGCCCCAAAGAAAAGATACAAGGACTCCCTGAAACAACATCTCAACCTTGGCAGCATTGATCTTCGTCGCTGGTCTATTCTGGCCTCCAATCCGGAGGTCTGGAGACACACCATCTATAACGCTGTTGATGCCTTTGAGAACACACGCAAGATCATTCTCAAGGAGAAAAGACAACACAGAAAGAATTGTGTCTTGCCGATACCACCTAAGGAGTCTTTCTGCTGTGCCTTTTGCAACCGAACTTGTCTATCTCGTATTGGCCTTTTTAGCCTCCAGCGCGCTTGTAGCAAATGTGGGTAGAGTCCTTCCCAAATCTTTGTTCGCGAAGCCCAGCCATGATAATGATGATTAATGTTTACTGAGGAAATCAGTATATTTTCCACTGATTTATTCTGGTTTAACCTGTGTTAGCAGTTCGGTGTTACTTGTTTTCTTGATTGTCTGCAAATCCCTCCTTTGGTTCTGAGCAAACTGACATTATTTTTCATTTTGTTGATGACGAGTGCCTTTTCCCCCCACTTATTTAGGAGTGAGGAGTACTGAGGCATTGAACAGGACTGTGACATCAATGACTTCACAGTTTTTAGGAGTGTGTGACACTTCTGCCTCTTGAAATTTTCCTCTGAGCCCTGTCTCCTTACTGGAGTAACTGTTCAAAGTTTAGCATCATACATTCATGGTACTTCACAGAAAATCTGGAGGTTATTTTCAGGTGGTTCTTGCTTAATCCTGCATTCCCTCATCCCATTTTTCAATCTAGGATTCTCACATAAGTATCTTTATTCCTTCTTAAATTGGATAGAAGCAGTACTGCTGAGGACAAGCTGCTGGGAGGTTTTTAAGATTAGCGGATATACCCTCTGTATCCCAGAGGGAGAAATGAATTAAGATGGCAAATCCTTCCTAATAGCTATGATGCTAAAGCCCCAATCTTTTTCTGATATCTGGAATGCAACAGACAGGAACTCCTAGTTAGCAAAGTGAGGCTTCAGTGGTGATCACATCAGCAGGTAGCAAGGAAGAAGTAGATGTCTGGGTATATATATACCTATAGATTGGTATATGACTGTGTCCTGCCTGATATTTAAGGGTTTTGGAATGAGGTGATCTTTAAGGTTCCTCACAACCCAAACCATTTTGTGGTTCTGAGTATAAAAACAATTGAGCCAGAAAGCTAAGCACACACACACGAACTGAAATAGTGCTGAAGAAAAGAAAATTGCTTCCAAATGTTTGACTTCAAAGCTTGCAATATATGCCTTCACATCTGTATGGTTACTAATATAAGGTATTGTAAGTCTTGAAAATACATGTAGTTCTTCCTCTGATTATCATATAGAAGGAGAAGTTTCAGAGCTGTTTGTAGGCAGCACCTTACCCTTTCTCTGAGGCGAGGGTTAAGTACAGATGAGGAATGCTCTGCAGTGTGATTTCAGAGCCCATCTGATTGTATCCTTTTTTTTTCTTAACAAGCAGCTCAAGTCCCGGCGCACTTTCCCCGGGTTGTGTGCTCATTCATTCACAGGGCAGCTGGAACGTGCCAGGTGTTTGCCTTGGGGAGAAATCCCAGCACACGAAGGATTTCTCCGGTGGTGGATCCTCCCCCATCACGCGGCAGAGCTGGACCAGAGCCGCAGATGTGCCGCGTGTGGAGCCACTGCCTCCCTTCCCGATGGAACGAAACGCTGCCCTGAGGTTCTTGCTGCTGTTCCTGAGTGTGGGATCCGGGGTGTCCGTGGAGCAAACGACTGTGACGTCAGGGAACAGGTCAGTGACTGGGTGTGTGGTGACAAACTTGAGCGGGCCCAGGTTTTAAATGCTGTCATTTGTGCTCTATGGAAGTAGATCCAGTCGCAGTTTGGAGTGTCAGGAGGTGGTTGTAATTTCCTTTCAGGTTTAAAAGCACTTAGGGGTAATACAGAAATTAATTATTTTGAAACACACGGTGAATTAAATATGTAACTTTAAAGCAATTTTATAAACGTGGCTTTAAAATGAGTGGTTTCTGTGCATCTATCTTACATTTCATTACATTTTAATGACTCTCATACTGACTTTCCCTGGTCTGTGTGAAAATGAAGTTATAAATAGAATAACAGCAAGGATGTGAAAACTAAGGTGCTAAAATATTCTAGTGGTGTAGAATGGATATTTGAAGCGTGAATTCAGTATTGCAAAGGAACTTACAAAATTACTGGAGATTTGCGTTTATTGTCAATAGTGATGTTTCACTCTCTAATGAAATACAAATAATAAGCCCAAATCATAGCAGGGGAAAGAGGGGACTTCATAGAGCCAAGTATTATGAAAGTGAAAACAACCTGAGCTGTATGAGTTGAATCATGCCTGGAGTCACCAGTAACACACAGAACAAATATGCTGATGGAGGTTGCAGCTGGCAGTAAAATCTGTTCATTTAAGGCAAGACGGACATGTGGTAATTTGCTTAAGCTTGTATTAAGAGATCTGGTAGTCAGTTACCGATAAATACTACAATATGTTTTCATCTAAATAGCTCACTTGCCGTTCTCCTCTGCCAGTTTTCAGCTCCCTCACTGTTCCTCTTAGCATAATTCTGCATTCTTTTTTTTGCAACCAGACCAGAATCTGAGAGAGAGCAAGCAGAGGAGCATTTTTTACAATGAACTTTTTTACAATAAGTATTAACAGAAGAAGTTGTGACCTGGATCCCAGTGAATTAAATGGGGATTTTGCCTCATTGGAGGTGGGATTGTGCATGCACAGTGTTAATTTGCTAGGTTCTATGACCTCAGAGGTTTGGGGCTTTTTGTATCAAAAAAGAAAGCTTAAGTATCTTGTTCTGATCCGGTCCTAGTTGGGCATCCATTAAACTGCAGATCAAACCCAGTAATCAGTGCATTGTAAAATAGTTATGTAAATCTGTCTCCCTGTGTCAAAACTCACATTAGAAAAACTATAAGAGTTATGTGGTTTTGTAGATATTTCTGGTTGATAGGACTTACACAGAGGCATTTAAAACTCAGTAACATTTTTTTGCCAGGATTTTTCTTAGAGGAGACTAGCTTTTTCCCTGAACATGGTGTCCCAGGTTTACACATTTATAATGTCCATAACTTCCTTGAAATTCCCTATGGCAAGTGTCCCTTGCACAACCAGTGCATTGCCCCCAGGTGCTTGTCACCTTTTGTCATGACTTTGTTTTTAGTGCATTTGAATGTTCACATGTTATTTTCCAATTAAATGCCTCGTAAATTAGCTGAAACTAGTTCAGCAGCCAGTAAGGAATTCTGCAGCTGGGCAATATTAGTATTAGAAAGATGACTCTGAAGTAATAGAAATACTGTTTCTTTAGGGGTGGAGTACATTTTCCCATCTGATGCAGTTTATCAGAGCAGTAATATGAAGAGTAAAAGAGTGAATATGACGTGAAAACTTCCTGTGGCGTCCACACTCAACCAGTGTTGAATGCCAGGATTATTCCTGTGGCTCATCTGAGCAGAGAAAACACTGTTTACATGGAAGTCCTCAAGAGCTGGAGTCTTTATAAACTTTTTTGGACAAACAAGCCATACTTGGTTATCTTATGTAGATGGATAATGTCATCTGATGAGAGGGAATTTACACTTCTTTATGCTTATAATCTTATTTAATTGGGTTTTACATAGTGATTAGTCATTCCAGTGCTTTGTATTAGGGCTAATCCAATTTCATGTGGGTTCCTAACATACTTGGTATGGTAAATTCAACATACAACCTACATGCCTAGGTGTTATCTGGGCCAGTTATTTACGAATTGCTAGGGAAAAATATTGAAATGTATACCCTGTGAGCAACTGAATTTGAAGTGTCACGGTAAGAGTGTCTGATTAAAAAAATGATAAATTTGAAAAGCTATTCTTTAATTCAGTGTGCTAAAAATGATTTGCTGTCAGTTTTGCAATGGAGAGTAAATGCTAGCTAGTTTTCTATCTCTTGTACATGTAATGAACATTTTATAATTAAAAGGGAATACGCATTTTTAAAAAATTTTTGCATTTTTTGCTTTCAATACTTCTGTTCTGTGAAACGTGCTCTAGCTGAGGATGAAAGGGCTTTGGGTGCCAGGGATCACTTGTGAATTCCCCAGCTTGCCTTTTCCTTGGGAAAGCTGCTGATGTGACATCATGATGGACATGGGCAGCCACCCATCCCTGTCATGGATCACAAACCCATGACACCTCGGGGCTGTGGGTGTCAGAAGCAGCTGACAGATCCCATAACATCGACAGCAGCCTGGGCTTGCCCAGACACCAGGACGTGATCCTTGGCTCTGCCAGCCACAGACCGGCTGTGCCCCAGTGATGTGGAATGATGGATTTCCTTCCTCTAACAGAGCTTCATGCACTGTGCAGGAGGAAAGTACTGCTAATTAACAGAGTAATTAACAGGAGGACCAAGCCAGAGGTGCTTCCCTTGCAGCCTTATGGTGTCTGTCATGCTGTGGCACTTTGTGGTGGTTCCCGGGTCACTCTCTGTGCTGCATTTCCTCATAAAAACATGAATATTTCATCAGCTGTGCACATTCATCTGTGTCAGTATCTTCATGCTAAAAGCAGAGACTCGATGTCTCTTCCTGTACTCAGCACTGGTGAGGCCACACCTGGAGTGCTGTGTCCAGTTCTGGGCCCCTCAGTTCTGGAAGGATATTGAGGTGCTGGAGCAGGTCCAGAGGAGGGCAACAAGGCTGGTGAAGGGACTCAACCACAGGTCCTATGAGGAGAGGCTGAAGGAGCTGGGGCTGTTCAGCCTGGAGAAGAGGAGGCTCAGGGGAGACCTCCTCACTCTCTACAGCTCCCTGAAAGGAGGTTGTAGCCAGGTGGGGGTTGGTCTCTTTTCCCAGACAACTATCAGCAAGACAAGAGGGCATGGTCTCAAGTTGTGCCAGGGGAGGTTTAGGTTGGATATTAGAAAGAATTTCTTTACAGAGAGGATGGTCAGACATTGGAATGGGCTGCCCAGGGAAGTGGTGGATTCTCCGTCCCTGGAAATTTTTAAAAAGAGACTGGACATGGCACTTAGTGCCATGGTCTAGTAACTGCAGTGGTAGTGGATCAAGGGTTGGACTTGATGATCTCAGAGGTCCCTTCTAACCCAGCTGATTCTATGATTCTATGATTCTATGATTCCAGAGTGGCTGTGGGATGTGGAGCAGCCAGGAGTTATTCAGATTTTTTTAATCACAACCCCCAAATTAACCCTTCCTCTTCCCAGAGCAGCATGAAAACCTTTTAAGTCCAGTTCAGGAATGAAATGAATTGCACAATTTTACACCAATCTTCTCCTACTCCAGTGTTTTAGTTTGTGATTTTCAAACTGGAGGAATGAGCTATGGGAGTTCAACTATGCATATAGGGAGGAGTTAAAAGTATAACTAAGCATAACTAGATATACATAGGTACAATACAAGTAAATATAACTAAAGTTAGTATAAGTAGATAATTTTCATTAGTTTCCTTTTGGCATGCCTCGTTTTTGTAGCTCTTACCATGCAAAAAATTCTCCCACATTTGCCTGTTCCAGCCCAAAGGCATGATCTGTCATGAAAAAAGACTAGAAAAGACAAAAAGGGATGCATCAAATTACAAAAATGTTCCTAATCATAAAACAACCGAAGAGAGAGTTTTATCTGAGCAAGAAAGCAAGGTTTGGTCCATTGTGGCCACATCTTTTGTTACCTGTGTGTCAAAATCTGGTATCTCCACCCATCTCTGAGAGCTGTTGACATGAGCAGCTTCCAGCATCTTGAAGAACTGATTCCAGCATGAACCCTGGCACCCAAAGAGCACTGGGAGAAAGTGGGACCCACTCTGAAAGTTGAATGAATAAACCTACCAGATTAATTTTAAACAGTGTCACCCACAGAGATGTTTTTTTAACATAAGTTCTTTATAAGGTTCTTCCAACTTGACAGAAAGCAGGGTGGGCTCTGTGCCATCCCATGTTGTTTGGACTCGTATTTGTCTGCCATTAAGGAAGGTGTGATGGAAATTAGGTTGGGATCACTCCTACTAGTGGGTAACACAGATCCCTCTACCCAGAATCTGGCAGGGAGTGAATTCACCCAGCTGTCCAGAGACTCCCCAGGAATGCCAAGTTTTGACTTTGCAATTCCAATACTTTACAGTACAATTTACTCACAAATACCGAAAACTGGTCTTATTCCTAGTCTTTATATGCTGGTCTTGAGGTATATATTTTCAAGAATTTTGCTCCCGTGGTGAGTTGGAAAAGCAGCAGGAAACAAGGCAAGGGAAGAAGATGGAAATGTATTGCCATGTTTAGTGGCTGTGGGGCAGGTCTGGCCCCAGCAGCTGGAGATTTACCCTAAGAAGAACATCAAATGTTGAAAATTTCATGAGCCTGGTAGTTGACATTTTAGTTGTGCTTTGCCCACACCCTACCTTGCAGTTGACTCTGTGACATTTGGTATTGCTTGGAACCATTCAAGGAGCTGTCTTCAAATGGCTGTAATTCTGGGCTTGAGACATGTTAGCCCATTGCATATGATCTATCCTGAGGGAATTAAACTTGTTGCTTCTGACTCTCACTGTGGAACAAGGGTGGTGCAGGGTGCTTGTGTTCCTCTGCCTGTGGGCTGGAACTGATTCTGTCTCTAACCCAGAACTGGTGTCCCATGGAACAGGACAAGAGAGAAGCCTTTTGTCAATGTGATAAGGGTATGGGAAAACCTGTCAGGGCTAATCCACCCGAGAGATCTCTGAAAATTAGGCATTTTTAGCCTGGGCTCAGCAGCTTTGGATTAATTTGCCTTGTTCCTGTTATATTACCAAGCCAAGGACCTGTGTTACATTTTGAATGTTTTATGGAACAAAGTAGTAATAGGTGTTGTCCCCAGTAAACTTGCTGCAGACTTTAAATCAAGATGCTGTAAAATAAGTATTTTTCTCCTCTCTTCTAGTTCACATGAATTCTCAGATCAAGATTCTCTGCAGAGAGATGGTAAGCCTTTCAGTGGGCTGAACTCCTAGATACTAGTTCTGTTAGTGTGGCTGTAAAAGATTTTATTCCCAGATGTTGGTTCTGCTGGCCTTAGTGACTCTTCTGTCACATGTGTTGTTAAAGCATATCCCCCGTTAAAAAACACCCTTGAAAGGATTTGCCTGTTTTAAAATACTAATTTGCTGTCCAACTCAGATGCAGAGAGAATGGGGAAGACAGAAGCATTCACTCTTTTTAACCAAATGAAAACAGAATTAAATTTTTGATGGATAGAGCTTTGAGAATGTCCATGAAATGATCTGTCCTTGTGAAACTTCGCTCTCCTGGCAAGCAGTTGGGCCATCAGGTTGTTTGTCACATCTTCCTATCTCTGGTGGTGCAGGGAAAGAACTTCCCACTCACAATTAAGACGCTTTTGTTGTTCAATTCAGCACACACTCTTTGATGACAGAGTTTGCTGTACGAAGAAAACAAGCAGCTTTTGCTGTGTTTGGGATGAATAAATGCAGATGTAGACTGAATCTTGTAATTTTGGGGCACTGGAGTTCCTTCCAGATGTTCAATGAAAAGAAGAGGAACCTTGTTGAACGAGTAAGGTAAACTAGAAAATACATGTAATGAAGGTAATATTTGGAACAAGTCAAGTATTTTCCAAGGCAGAATCAGCTATTCTCACATACACATTTTGTGCAGGGATAATTATTGTTTGCATAAGAACGTGCAAAAATTATGCCTTTATAAATGACTGGGTGTTTATAATATACTAATAATGCTGATAACACTCTTTCTTCTGCAGATCAACATTACGAAGGTGGCGTGAAGCCAAAATTGAATGTCAGTCAAGTGGCAATTGCACAGGTAATGGATCTGTAGAGTCTTTTCATAGCACATTTAGATCTTTTAATTTACATTGCTGAGTTAAACTCTTTTTACATTGTTTACAAGAAACAGCCACCAAAACTGTCTAAATCATTGTGATATGATACTGATTCACTGCCTGCTGTACAAGGTGTCCTCTGCTTTTCTGAGGAGTGAGATGAGACTTCAGATACTGTTGCTGATGCTGACTGACTTGGGCACATGGTCTTTCTGAAAGAACCAAATCCTTATATCCATATCCCGTACAGTGACATTTGACTGCTGTGGCCAGTCTTGTGCTTATATCACTTGGTACTAAATGAACAGCTGTAGCAAAACTTCATATTTTTGGTGGGAGTTTTTCATGAGACCAGGCAATAGGTCTTGTCAAAAACTGACCATAAAAGGCTTCCTTACCAAAAGAAGCTCACCAAAAGTGATGCACTCTGCCGTAAGTAACATGTTGATTAAATCTCCCTCACTTGTACTTCTGAGAAGACAGCCTTATCATTTATATGAACACAGTCATAGTCACTTATCACATCTTCTGACCGTGATCTTACCTGGCTTTCAGCTTGTTGCTGTCAGTACTTACTAATTTTAATCCTAAAGCACCCTTGTGCCATGTGTAAGGTCCAATATCAAAAGGGATCTTTCAGGATCTGAGCTGAGAGACATGATTTTCTAATCTGAACAGCACCAAAAAAAAAAAAAATCTCTCTTTAAGCCAAGACAAAGCTTTGGGACTTAACTGTGTCTCTTCTGGAGCCTGGTAAGATGCTGTTTATGACTGGGACTCAGAAAACCTCTCTTGTTTTGGTACATGATTTGAACTTGCTAAATCATATGACATGGAAAAACCAGCCATGCAGACATTGTGTGTGTTACCCTATTCAGATAGGATGTGCATTAATGGGGCAAAGCTGGTGTCTGGAAATTTGAGTTTGAAATCTGGAAATGGCAGTAAAATTTTCAAGTTCTTTCAGAGCTCTAAGTCACTGTCTCAAATTATGTTGCCTGACTGTCTTTTTGCAATGAAATTTTGGCTTAGAAGGGGTAGTGTTTCCAGATGACATGGAAGCTGCAGTCCCCGGGTTTTAACCCTGTAACTGATTTTGTAAAGGCAGGGATCCACACTTGAGCCATCCTGTTCTGCAGCAGGTATTTTCCTGATTTTAAAGCAATTGGGAGCCAAACTACCTGCAGGCAGATGTAAACTTGGGCATTTCTTTCACCTGGACAGCTGCCTAATGTGCTTTCAGCATGGTAGGCTGTGTCCTTGGCCCAAACTGAGTCCTTTTCAGTGTGTTGAAGTACTTCTTATTGGTGTCCCAGGTAAACAACCTCATTTATTCTGGTAGGATGGAGAGCAAATCCTGAAATACACACCTTCTGATAACCATCTTTTGTGTGGTTCCTCAGGTTGTCAGCCACAACTTCAGCAGGGAAGGGCAGTGGGAAGGAGCATTCTGGAGGCGGTTCTCCCACAGCCACCACAGCCCCCTCAATGTCACGGTCAATGGCATCCCCTGCATCCTTTTCTGGGCCAAGAGGATCATGATCAGGCTTGAAAACCACACTCAGCTGGACTTGACAGAGAAGACATTTGGTGTCCATGCCACAGTGGATGTTGGAGACTCAAACTGCAGTGAAGACAGTGCAATGTAAGGTGGAATTCTGCTACACCAGTGGAACTGGTGCCAGATTACAAGTCTAGGAAGTACATACTGAAGGAAAACTGACCTTGTAGAGCCCCGGGGCTCTTTCCTAAATGTCCTGCCATTGCAGCAGCAGGGGTTATATGCTTTAAAGCCAGCCTTTCATGGGACACATGGGTGTACTCAGCTGTTGCAGTGGTGTGGTCACTCCTTGGGGCCAGCCAGCTTTGCTCTTAGGGCCTGTGAAGCTCCAGCTGTTAATCTCTTTAGTTTCCAGCTGTCTTAGGCAATTGCTTGGGAGGCTGAAGAGTGGGTTCCCTGCTGAATATGGGGCCTTTGGGCTGTGCATGACTACTCACCCCTTTACAGGAGGTGTGCCAGCAGTACTGTACAGGATGCGGGTCTGTATTTAGTCCTATATGGCATTTCACCTGTACAGCTAAATATGTTTCCCTAGAAAGTATTAACTCTTTCTGATCACACAGCTGCAAAGGATAACCCAAGGTGCACAGAAATTTTACTGAGAAATACCAGAAAACTAAAAGTAAAATTGAAAAAGAAACAAGGACTTGCATGTAGTATCATAATATTCAACGAAGGCAGTCTGAATATTATGTCATCAGCATGTGAACCAATGCAGCAGTTCCATCAACATGTGAACTGTTCCATTAGTTCTCCCTACCCTCTGCCTTTCAAAACAGGCAGAGGTAGAGAATGGAATAAAGTTATTTTAGAAATAAAAAGTAATAACAAACATTCTGTCCTCTCTTCTGGTCTACAATTTGGAAATAATCTTGCTCTGATTAGTAATTTTTGCAATGTAATAGAATGCAAAATGAAAGGTTTCAAAACTCAAAGAATAGTTTTATAGTTTTTCATAAGACCTGGAAAATCAGAAGGACAATGTTTTTTTGTGGTCTGCGAACTCCTTCTGGAGCTGATATTTGGAGACTGTTAGACAAGCAGGTTACTCTGTCTCCCTGTCTGTTGTGGGTACCTCTGTAGTCTTACTACTGTAGAGGCTTCATTTTGTAAATATAGATTTCTAAGAAATTAGGGCTTGCCCTGACTCTGTCTGGGAGGGAGATAACGTATGATTCTCTTGTGATTTGGGTCTGTGGTTGAAACAGTGTTGGTGACAGAGAAGAAAGGGAAAAGCTTGCTTGAATGTTGCTCTGTAATCTCGGTTTTAAGAATCAACCTAAATTAAGCCAGTTGATGGCTCAGTCCTCACATGGTAGATTGCCCAGTTTTTCTCACATCAGAAAAAATCCCTCAGACTTCCCTTCTCTAGCTTTCATTGTTAAGACAACTCTCTGTATTGTCTTTCAAGCTGATTTATGCTGTGTAATCAGTGTAAAGTAACTGGAGTCAGGAAAAAATATTAGACACCGAACACATATTTGTTTGCTATAGGAATATAATGATCCAACCTGCGTTTTTTTCTTAGTTGAATGCCGCATTTGCCTGTGGCTAATCCTCAGCTATTATGATTTCCCTTTTTCAGTAAAGAAAGAGGTAGTCTGGATTCAGTGTCCTGGCTTATTGGACCAGTGTTAGTCAAGGTGCAAGAAGTCTTGAAGTCTAGATCTCCTATGAAATCACAGAGCTAGCTGTTTGCTTGGGGATTTTTTTTGTGTGTTTGTTTGGGTTTTTTATTTAGTTTTATTTTGTGTGAAGTTTTTTTGTTTTGTTTTGTTTGTTTGTTTTTTAAATATATTCTTCAGCTTTAATTTTGGAAGTCTTTCAGATGCTGCATGTTTCTGCTGTGTTTTGTTTTTGTCTTATGTGAACAATGAGAATCTCTGTACAGGTTTTAAGAGGCAAAATATTAGTGTTAAGTGATGAAACAATATATTCCACTTAGTTATGTATTGCTACAGTGCATTAATTAAGCTGATAGATTAATTTAGTAAATTTCAGGTGCCCATACTCACTGCAGGTGACCTTTATAGAGCTGCCTCACAGTCAGGGTATTTATGTGGCTCTAATGATGTGCATGTGTGGACTTTGGACTCCAGTGACATCTGTGTTTTTTATGCTCTGGTATTTAAAAAGATGAGAATAATGTGTGTGTTTACACTTTCTGATGACATACAGAGGTGATAGCTGACTGAGATGACATGGCTTGAGAAGGAGAACAGAGATCGACTGAACTAATTACCAACTGATGTGGAAAGCAGTGGGATTTAATTGTGCTGGAAGTTAAACACGCATTTATACTCTTTCTGGACAGCTTGGACCTCGTTCCAAACTGCAGGTGAAATAGTAGATTTCAATGGAGGAAAATTTAATCCTTCCAGGTTTTTTTCCCCACTGACTTTAGGGATATACTGAGCAAAAGGCTCCAGGTATAACTGAGTTTAATCTTTTGTGCTGCTTTTCTCTCTGAAGACTTCTGAATTTTTTTCCTAGCCTGATGTAACTTGCTTTTTGACCTAGGCTTTCTCTGAAGTTTGGGGACATTGGCAATCTAAAGGGACTAGTTATCAGGTAAGTTTATATGGCAAAACCCCCAACCAGATAATAAAAAACAGGCTAATATACATTGTTATGCAGTTGCTTGTGGAATTAAAGTTAATTTGTTTAAGCAAAAATAATGTGATAGAAATTGTTGATTGTATAATTGTCACACCTGCACTCAGAGTGTCTGTCATTTGCCTGCCTTGTTCTAAGTCATTTTTTCTCCTTTGTTGGCTTTTCTATTAATGAGAAAAGTTTGCGTCATCTCTTTTGTATAGAATCTTCCTATGTCTGAGATTTTAGCTAAACTTTGGTGATTTACTACATTTTTCTTGGGAATTTTATGTCAAGAACTGATAGTGTGGGCTGTTCAGACATCAGACTGTGACCTGGTTTATGTTTACTTCTTGGTGACAGAAAAAACAGCATTTCTTGTTAATTAACTTCCCATATCTTGGATGGAAGTACAATACCAGTGTGGTAGTTTATTTTGGCTGAATGCCAGGTGTACACCAAGGCTGCACAGGTCTCCCCCCATCCAGAGGGAAAAGGGGAGATGAAAAAAACCGTAAAAACCCGGGATTTACCAAGAATGGCAGTTTTATATTTACATGGAAAAAAGGAAAAAAACCCTAATAACACTACAAAAACATAGACAAAGGAAATTAACAGTAAAATTCTACTTCCTGCCATAAGCAAAGTGCTCTTTCTCTCTCCTCCAAGGAGCAGCCATCCTGCTGGATAGCTATCACGGAAGAGAGTGAGCTACTTCCTTCTCCCCTTTTTATATCTGAGCTGATGTAACATGGTATGGAATATCTTCCAAGTCAATATGAATCAGGTGACTTATCCTATCCCAGAAAAAGGAAACAAACCTACTACAACCAGTGTTGGATATATTTTACTCAGCCATTTATTAAAAATCCCTCAAAACCCTCTTACTGTGTGGGAGAACAAGTAACAAGGAACAAACTCCTTCAGTTGCAATAATGAACAACCTCAAAACACAGAATTTTTAGCATTGGAAGGGACCTCTGGAGATGACCCGGTCCAAGTCCCTGCCCTGGCAGGGTCACCTGGAGCAGGTGACACGGTAACATGTCCAGGTGGGTCTGGGATGTCTCCAGAGAGAGAGAGACTCCACACCCTCCCTGGGCAGCTGTTACAGGGCTCTGCCACCTCCATGGAAAGCTCTTCCTCGCTTTCCAGACTCAGTGGAAGGATCTAGAGCTCACACAGATATAAACTGGTGATGCCAGTGAGTCTCCTAAGGTTGTTCAATGTGCAAATTCAACAGGTGGAACCCTTTGACTTGTTTTCCTATTCACCTCTCTTCCCACACAATGTTTCCAGGTTCTTGCTGACCACCAGCTATTACCAGCTATCTGTTCAGAACTGGTTCAGCCTGCACAGGCTGCAGCTGCTCTACAACCACTCGGTGCAGGCGACGTTCAATGCGACCCGAATCCATGCGCCGGCGACTTACTCCTACCACTGCGACCATGTGAGCAGCCTGCAGAGATACGATGCTCTCCTCATTCCCAGCTCTGCAAATGACCTCTCACAGCTCTGGGAAGTCACTTTTATTGATTTCCAGGTAATGTCATGGAATTAGGCCCAAGGGATCCTGTAGGTAGATTGATGGGAAGTTTTGACCATTTGCTGACAAGGAAATATAATGACCTTCTGTGTACAGTCTATGGGATTTCCATGGAACACAAAATTGAAATGAGGACTTAAATTATTCTCTTTATCTCCCTATCAAAGGAAATTAAGGGCTGTATAGATTTTCTGTAGTCTTCTGCTTGTGTTCCCTTTAGTGTGGGGGGTGAATTTAACTTCCAGTGTTCCATCTTTCTGAGCAGAGCTGTTAAACATGGCATCAGTAACAGCACCAGACACCAGGTACAGAATTCATCTCACTTAACTTTTGATGCCTACGAATTTTAACCTTGTGGCCTGATTATAGTCACCCCAGCCTGCCTCTAAAGCTAGTGGATAATTCCTCTGACTCGTCTTAAGTCCTTATTTTAGGATGAGATTAATAATCTTCTAAAAGTGCCAAGTTTTCTGTGTTTGGCAATGAGGGAGCCTCAGATGGCTGGACTAGAACATCTTGCTTTTACATACCTAAGTCATAGGGCATGAAGAGCTGAAAAAGGGAATTGAGGAGGAAAGCTGCTCCCCTTTTCTCACCAGGTGATAAATGCCCATGGGCTGATTTAGTGGACCAGGCACAATTCCCTGAATGCCAGTGTCGTAAACTTCATATTAGAGCTGAAGCCACAAGTAAAAATTCTTGGTGTTTTCCATAGTTGGATGCAGCTTCCTATAGTGTAGTTGGTTTGCTACCAAATACCACACACATGGATCTGGTGAGGAAAACCTAATTCTAGGGTAGGCATTTCAAAATATTTCCTGGTTTGTTGCATTGAAGTTTATGCAGTTTGAAACAGAGACACTGAGGACCCTCAACAAGTGATGCTGGAGGTGCACCATTAAGGTGAAAGGCATCAATTAAATATTGTGGGCCATCAAGAGAAGATTTTGTTTCAAACACAACTACAGATCCTTTGGGCAGCAGAGCAGAGGGGATTAGAATAGCTAGTGGTTTCTAGAAGACTGACCTGGAAAAACTCTGAGCATTAACTCCAGCCAGCACGGGGAGGTACAAATTTGCAATGTGCAGGTATTAAATTAGAAATTCTTACTGCCATCAGGAACACAAGCACTTCATTTAACATGAGCTCTCTTGTTCTCCTCGTAGATCCAAGGTTTTAACATCCAGGAAGGACATTTTGCCTATGCAAAGGACTGTGCATCCTTCTTCTCTCCAGCAATACTGATGGGGCTGGTGATGTCCCTGATCCTGCTGCTGGTCCTAGCCTATGCCCTTCACATGCTGATCCACCTCAAATCCCTTGACAGGCACTATGAGTGCAAAGCTTCTCCTGCCTATTTTGCACAGATGAAAGACAACGACATGGGAGATGAGAAGGAGCCACTGAGAAACAGTGGGAATGAGTCCTATGAACTTAGAAACAAGCAGTTTGGTAAAATCTATATTTAGCAATGTGCATCTAAGTGAAACAAGAGGTATTTTCTTCTGCTGGCACTGTTGTGTGTAGTTGGCGCAGGTCTTTCACCAGCTGATGAAAGGAAAAGTAGGTAACAGACTGTTTAATTGGTTATTTATTGATCATCATCTTAAAGACGCCTTGGGAAACAAGCTGAGATAAAAAAAAATTCCATTGTGAATAAGAGATTCATGTTATGGGACTTTATTCCTGTAGCAAAAAGCCAAAATGCATAGCTTTTCATCCTGCTTACAAGGTCTTGAAGAGAGAATCAGTATTGAAGACTTTGAAATCAAATAAAGATACTAAATATATATGTATCTATATATAGATAGATAGATATAGATGTAAATCTCTTAACTTGTTCTTTCAGAAGGCGAGATATTTCCTCATTTTGTATTTCCTCTGTCTTGACAAAATATCATAAATTTCTTTCTCAGGATGTGCTTTGCTTTTATTTTCCAAGTTACATCCCCTCCTCTTAGTCGTCATAAACTCCTTTTCCTTCAGAGCCACTTAAGCTGTGTTTTTATCCGCAATGATGGCTCCAGAACAGCAGCATCCTGATACTTCCCTGTGTCTGAGCTGGAGGCTTACTCTGAGGATCCAGTGGGAGAGCACCAGACATCTGGTCAAAGGCTTACCCTTAACTTCCTGGCTCAACTGCACGCCAGAAGAGGGATTATGAGCATTATACCCTGTAATTCAAGGTTAATTTCTTTCCTATCAAATCCCATCAGTCTCCCTTGTGAATTTTACCTGAATGGGGATAACCAGTGCTATAATTCAAAATCTATATAAGCAAAGCGGAGGAAGCTCCTTAGCAGTGAAAAAGGTACTGTGATATGATTTTCAGTGCTCTATCTGAGCATTTAGGACACGGTGGCCCTCAAACTTGTCCTTTCTTCCATTAGAGGCAAAGTTTGGGAACTCCAAATTAGCCATGATTTGGCCCTGATTTCCAGTAAGGAAGAGCACAGTAACATACCAACTATAGTGCTTTTAGGTTATAAGTAATACTATGTAATAGTAAGTAATAATATGTTAGAAAATCTTCTACAAATACAGATTTAGCAGGCATGTTTTATGCCTGTTTAATTTTAGATAATAGAACTAATTAGTTGTTTGTAGTCTTCGTAAACTGTACTGCAGTGGTCTTTAAACACCTTGAGAGGTGTCCAAAGATCTCCTAATTATTAGGTAGGCATTCCTGAATATTTTCTGGTTTGTTGAAGTTTATGCAATTTGAAATAGAGATTCTGGAGATTCTCAATAAGTGATGCTGGTGAAAGGTACCAATTAAATATTGCTGAGCCATCAGCAGTGACACACAGGTGGAACCCAAATCAGTTGGTTGATTTAGGGATGTACTTCAGAGGGAAAACACATAACCAGAAGTAAGGACTTACCACAGCTGCCTGTGGGCAGCTGCTGCCAAACTTTCATTTGTTTCATAAAGGAAACAAGCGAAACAATGAATGCCTGGGAACCTGAGTGAGGTTAACAAGAGAAGGTGCAAATCAAAACCAGGGTATTCCCTGCTGAGTGGCAAAACACTCTCCAGCTTGGTGCCCTCTGCTTGCACCCAGTGGGGACAGATGTTGGCAGTTGTTAGAGAGAGTTCAGGATGCCAGTGCTAAATAGGTGATACTCCCCGAGGTCTGGAGAGCAGTGCTGTCATGCCCTGGGGGCTGGGAAATTAAAACCTGACACCAGTCAGTGGCAGCCTGTCAAAATGACTGTCAGTCACTGGTGTGAAATGCTCACCCTGCTGAGCCAAGCACGGCAGCGCTTCCTGAACCTTGTGTTCTCTAGGACACAAAGGCACTTCTTCCTCCCACAGAGGTCATTTATCCTTCTAGTTACTGTCTGATGGTGCTGTCAGGGTAATTCTTACCTGTCATTTTCTTGCATGTTTTAAATGGGCAAAATTAGCCCTGTTGCTGTGAGAGATTCTTACAACTCTGAGACTGGGAATAAGAGAGATACCTTCCAGTCATATCCCTCAATCATCATGTCCTTTTCCAACCCAGCTGTGTTCTCTTGACTTTGAGGGTGAATGTCTGCTGGCTTTGTGCTTGAGAGACTCATCACTGCAAACCTGCAGTGTGTAACAGTTCAGGGTTTTTTGGTGCAGACTTTAATGATGTGTGTGGCCCTTTCAGCAGGAAGGCACTTGACCAAAAGATAGGAATTTGTACCTGCTGATTTACAAGGCAAACTTTAGAATAAAACAGTGCAAAAAATGAAAAGGAGAGGTAAAAGTAAAAAAAATTGCCAAGAAAAATAAAATTTGTTTCCTTTTATCAGCTTCTCCTAAACTATGACACAACTGGTATTATCCCCAGGATCCACTGGGACAAGGTGCACAGGTACTAGTTATCTTATCTCTGCTGTGACTTTTAGTGTTGCAGTCTTTCATGGTAGTGGAAGGTGACTCTACTCCTCCATGTATCCCCTGTATCATCACAAATCTACTCAAGTGCCAGCAAGAGTCAGAAAGGATAAACACACTAATTGAATTAGACAGGAAATACAGTGCTCATCATAGGACTGGAGTGATGAGCCTTATGTTTGTAAAGAGTTAATGGTGCATTAGTGGAAAAAGCACCAGAAGAAAAAAATTGATCATAATTGCAGTTTCTGTCTCCTTGTGCCATGTATAAAGGCAAGCACCCATGGTTGAAAAAGATGAAAATGTGTGGCTTTGCATTCCCACTAAGCTGTATTTTCTGTGAACCAAGCAATCCTTATTGAATGCACATTTTGGAGCAACAGGGACAGTCCATTGCCCTAGTCCTGAAAGAAGAAAATTCAAGTTAAAATTATTTGTGTGCTACAGAAATAAGCTACATTGGTACTAACAGACTCATTAATAAAAGATAAGCTTTTTTTACATGGTCCACATGCTGCATTATTTCATATTTGCATGACACCAAGCAACCTTTTCAACATATATGTGTTCATTCAAACAAAATCCTTATATCATCTCTTCAAAACTGATTCAGTGTTTCAAATTCAGGGCCCCATCCACTCCCACTTAAACTCAAAGGGAAGAGTCTCAGTTTAAATGAAACAGGAAAAATTTGGCAGACTGTTATGCAGCTCTCGCTGTGATAACAAAGAATTGAACAAATGAATACATTTATTTCTCATACATTTCAGCTGCTGTTAAAATTTTATATAATTGCCCTTCACACCAATATTAGGCAACTTTACATTGGCAGCAAATTGGATTTTCAGGCAATACATTAAAGACTGCTGTTTGAACTGAAGTGGTGGACTTCTGGCATAGTATTGATTAAAACTGCACAAGGAATGATCAGAGCCAAGGCCACTGTGGATACAGGGACAAAAACCATGAGTCCACTTGCTGGTAAGTAACACTGAATTCCAGGTAGCCAGAAGAAATAGGTTTATTTCTTTCCTTCAAGTTTATAAATGGTGGTGTTTCCCTGCCCTTCTTGAAATACTGATTCTCGCTATAGCAAGTGTTAGTTCTGTCATTGATTTTTTTTTTTAACCGTTGAATTCCAAAAGGCTGGATGCAACACTGCATTTCAGAAACTGTCCCCAAGAGCTCAGAAAGCATTTACCAGGGTGGGTCTGTTCTTCACCATTATTGAATATCCCTTGAATTGTTCTCCACTTCTTGTAACCCTTGTGACATTGCATTTAACTGGTGTATGGTAGATCTTAAATCTGATTTATTGGTTCCTAGATCACCCCTTAGTTTGTTTGATGTAAAAATACAGGCTTTATTTGATGTTACAGGACACAGTCTGAAAGAAATCAGAAGAAACTGCTAAACCTTGTATCTACATTTTTGCACTTTTATTTCTTCAAGCTGACATCATATGTCAGAAAATGTAATTTGAGTCAGTGTAATTTGAGTCAGTGGTGTGTAAATTTACTCATGACTCACACTGTGTTTGAAGCCTGACAAAGGGTTTCAATCCCTGCAAATTTTGGAACAGCCCTTCTGAACATTTTGCATCTGCCTCGTTCTGAGTGCTTTTTCTGGGTCAGTTTTATGATTTTGGTATATCAGCCTGCCCTGTGCTGGCTGCCTAAAGATTTTAATTGGTTATTGGAAGTAATCACTTTGCCTGTTTGCAGGTAAGTGCTGCTGCTTGGGAATGTAAAGGAATATTGATTTTTGGAAACTCAAAAAGGAAGTTTTCCAAATAAATGATGTTTCTTTTTTCTTCAATGCATCCTACTGAGCTTTTGCATATTAACACAAGCTACTTGTTCATTGCAGACCTCTACTTTCCTCTCTCCTAGCTTTGGTTTGAAGCTGAAGTGGATGGACCAGGGCTACAGAAAGAGCAGCAACACTTTTTATTTGGCCTCATGATGCCTCTTAGGCTATTGAGTTGCCTCTCAGGTGTCCAGGAGCCAGTCTACAGCTTTTCTGCCATTTCTATGTGTCTGCAATGGAAGGAATTTATGATCAGGCTTCCCTCACCAAAAAAACCCCAAAAATAATACCCCCACCCCAAAAATGCACACACCCCCCAAACAAAAACAAACAAACAAAAATTATTTTCAGCCCTGGACATGATTTGTTATTGTTTTCTTCCAGCTAAAGCTGGTCTTTGCAGTGAAAAAGGCACAGAACTTGAATTTTCAGTGTTTTATCAACAAAGAGCAGGTTTTTCACTCCCAGCTGTAGTTTTCTGTCACAAAATATTAATCAAGGCTCTTCAGGAGACCGAAAAGCTCTGTCCCAATTACACCCCTGACTTCAGAAATGTAAAGCCAAAAGGAAAGGGACAGTTTTGTCTTTACTCCTTGAAAAATCCCACATTCAAGCAGTCTGAAATCATGGGCTGTGAAATGGAGTGTGGAGTCATGAAAAGTCCTGCCCCTCATCAGTGAAAAGAATTTGGTTTGAAGCTGGCTCCCTGCCAAGTCTCCAAACCCTACCACAAGAAGTGTCGTGTCCCCCCCCCCAAACCTCAGGGAGAAGAGGGAAAAAACCCTCAAGAGAACCAAAACGAGAGAGAGACAGCTAAAGCAATATATATAAATATATTTATACTTATATTACAGTTATATACAATTGAAATATATATACAATTTCACAAGGAAAAGGGAAAGGGAAGGGGGAAGGGAAAAAAAAGGAACAAAACCAGAATAAAAAATATATATCCTGATCAATAGCCCAAGATCTAGCAACTAAAAGAATTAGCAAAGAATATTTTACTACTCTCCTTGGGACAACGGAGAGTCACGCTGGAGCGACTGCTGGCAACCTCCGTCTCCCAAGGTCGGCAAGGCCTTACCAGGCCTCACTCCCCAACCCGACAGACTCAACAGCAGGGAACCTGCACCTCCAAAGCTGTCGGAAGGAAAAAGAGAGGGCAAAGGCCTCTCCTCCTTTCTTCTTATACCCCGGCTTACGTAAAAATCGTAGGGAATACTGGGTAAATCCGTGCACTTCCTTGGTTACAAACTGGTCACCAAGGAAGGCCTAGACCAAACTCCCACAGGTGGAAATCCTTAAACCTTTTCCTAAATAAGCACACCCTCAGTATTGATGTTCTTCCATTTCCAATCTGTTTGAAATGGAAGAGTCTTAACACAAGGAAGGGTCTTAAATCCTGCAGTTCATCTTCTGGATCCCTTTGGTATTGGGGCTGGTGCCTGCAGTGCCAGCTGGGAATTTTTAAGGATTTGAAATGGTTTATATAAACACTCTCACAGAAAAACTGATGCTGTGCCAAAGTCCCTTGAGACTGTCGTCCCCAGGATGTACCATGAGGGCTCCTAAATTCGGCAAAACTCTCCAGTGAAAATTAGGAAGATGCAGAATTACACATTTTATATTATTGGAAAGATTAATGGGTCACCATCGAGTGGAAATTCTTCGTGTAGGCAGATTCTTCATGTAATTGAAGTGATCAGGAAATCTTCAGTTCTGAAAATCTGCTTAGTGAGTTACATAAATCCCTGGTAGAAACTGGTGTGGAAGTAGCTGTGGCATTGTACTCTATTAGTGCCTGAATACATATTTGAATTTGTTTCTTTGGCTAACGGCTAAGAAGATATTTCAATGGGAACTCTCATTTTGTGTGCAAGATGTGCAGGGTCTAGTCTTGAAGCTGGGATCTCATTAATTTTTCTTTTATCCTTTCAAACACAGAAGTGAGTAAATGTTTGTAATTTTGTGGTTGTTTTGTGTTTTTTCTATTTTGTTTTGTTTTGTTTTGTTTTGTTGTTCTTTTTGGG